CGTATGCAACGCTCAGCCGAGGGTTTTGGACGTATGCAACGCTCAGCCGAGGGTTTTGGACGTATGCAACGCTCAGCCGAGGGTTTTGGACGTATGCAACGCTCAGCCGAGGGTTTTGGACGTATGCAACGCTCAGCCGAGGGTTTCGGGAGTATGGAGCGCTCAGCCGAGGGTCGGGGAGTATGGAGCGCTCAGCCGAGGGTCGGGGGCTTGTGACGCACAGTTACAGCAGCAGCTTCTATGTCTGTTTTCACACTTCCTCTGGGCTCTGTTGTTTTATATTCTGTTATACACGTTTAGGAGCCGAGAGACCGTAAAGGGCATAACTAGAAAGCTGTAGCTATAATTTTTCACCAAACATTTACTGGCGGTCGAATCCGTCTCCGTCATTCAAAACGCATGCTCCTGGAATATTCACTTGCAGTGAATGTTGAATTTCAGATTCCTTTCTTTTATAATTATACCCCTAAGTGTTCTGAACATGGAGTCGGGTAATTGAAGAGGTTTTCCTCCTGTGAGTTCAGGGCAGCTTGATGAAATACCTCTAGGGAGTGGGTTGGATGCTGCTGGAGGGCGGCTAGTGCTGGACAACTAGCGCGATAAGTCTACGAGAGACCGCGCTGGAGATTGCAATCAAGGCTGTTGTGTTTTTGTTTTGTTTTGTTTCTTTAATACTCGCTGGGCTGCTTACATTTTATGTTTTATTTATAAGTGGAGTTGGGCTTTCAGGAATAAATCTTAGCCAAGTCGTGGCTGGTTCCCTTTTTAAGAGCCCGCATCATAGAGGCACACATGAGCCACCAAGTGCATTGCCCCCTCCACCATCATGTTTTCCTAATTCCTTTTTAGCACCGGTTCACTTTAAATATTGGCCCGGAGCCCCCTATAACGATACAGAAGGGACTGGGATATAGACGCACCCACAGCGTGACTGCAGGCCAAGATCCGTTGCGCGGGGCTGCGAGAAGTCACTTTTCTGGGACTTTGTTGTTCTGTTCCTACGCTACAAAAGGCTGTTTAGATGACTTCATTTTCAGGCCAGTGCCAAGCCCACAAAGGCTGAGCGTCCCGGCCTCCGAGGCCTGAACACATTATAGAACGGATGTTGCTTGCGCGCAGCAGTTGTAAATCACTCGCTGGAACCAAACTCGCATTACATAATTTAATACAGAGATGCTTCGCTGTCACGAAGTTTACTACAAAAAAAAGCCTCGATTTCATGGGTGGCGTTTCCATTTTTGAAGATGCGCTCATCTCGCCAGCTTTCTATGTGCCGGGGAGGGGGTGGTTTCCAAAACATTTTCGGAAATCTTGGATTAGATGGATATTGGTGTGTTCGGTGGTGTAACAATAGCCATCGCAGCCCATGGGGCCTGGGGGTGGAAGGGGGCTAAACCAGTCACCCTGCGCAAGTTGAGAGAGCAGCAGTGACTGGTCTTTATTTACAGGAGGGGGCAGAGACAAGACCAGTCACCCTGCACAAGCAGAGAGAGCAGTAGTGAGCGGTCTTTATTACAGGAGGGGGAGGAGACGAGACCAGTCCCCCTGCACAAGGAGAGAAAGCAGCAGTGACTGGTCTTTATTACAGGAGGGGGCGGAGACCAAACCAGTCACCCGGCACAAGGAGAGAGCAGCAGTGATTGGTCTTTATTACAGGAGGGGGTGGAGATAAGACCAGTCACCCTGCACAAAGAGAGGGCAGCAGTGTCCAGTCTTTATTACAGGGGGGGCGGAGACAATACCAGTCACCCTGCACATGGAGAGAGCAGCAGTGAGTGGTCTTTATTACAGGAAGCTCCAAGTCTCACACTGGATTACTGCACAGATCTGGAAGAAATACACAAAGCTCGAACCTTTTTTCCAAACATTGAAAAAAAATTACCCCATTGCTGAAACTGCTTAAAAGTGTTGGATGTAGTTGGGCTTAAGTCCATCTAAAACTACACATCTCTGGCCAGTAGGGTGACAATGCTGTTTGAGGGGGCTGTGCGGGGTCTCGGGAGGCTGGTGGGATCTCAGGGGGTCTGTGCAGGGTCTCACCAGGGGTCCGGAGGGTCTCGCAGGCATGTGCGGGCGGCGTGGTTCCCCAGGAAGGAGATGTGTGGCCGGCGCTGTAAACAGGCGCTGTAAACAGGCGCTGCGTGGCTCACAGGAAGGCTGCTGAGGTCCCCAGCAAGCGCAGGCGACATCAGGCAGCCCCTTCAGTTTAAAAATCTAAAGCGCCGGTATCATATTGGGGACTCGTGAAAATGCCCAGTATTCACGAGGACTTACGAGCCAGAGGATCGCAGGGTGTCCCGTCTGACCATGCCCCCTTGTCACCACAGAGCAGCGTGGCCTCGTCTGGGAGCGGCGGCAGCGAACACTGCCAATGCTGGCTTTTGGAGGTGCCGTAGATGCCCCCCCCAGAGGCGAGGGCTGTATAAATTGGGTTTGTGCTACAAGTCAGGTCCATATACAGTTCCGTCTGGCTGCTAGACCGGTCTCTGCACCCTCTTCTCCCCTGGGCTTCTGCGGTCTGATGTCATCAGGTCTATTTCTGGTCTGTTCCAGCGCTGGAGCAGAGGGGGCGGGGTGAGGCGACCAGTCTCTACCTCTTTATGAACTAGCTTTTTATGTACCTTTTTTTTCGGTTTTACGTCGCGTCATGTGACATCTGCTCCACTGAGTGTGCAGGGTAGGGTCGAAAATTCCCACGTATCCTCCCATCCTCGCTGCCCTCCCAGCTCTTGTAACTTTAGGTTTTGGGTGTAAACGGGACTCGGGTGACAACATGGTAGTGATCAGAGTGCTGTGCGTCGACACCACTATCTTTGTACCAGTGCAGGAGCGCTCAGACTGGGGGCACAACACATAACTACATTGAGACCTGCCAACCCTTGAACAGGAAATCGTTGAGAAATGGGCAGGATCAACATGGAGCTTTTAAAACGTACAAACAAAAGTCACTTGAAAGCTCAGAATCTGCAGGCTTTTTTCTTTTTTGTATCTTTTTTTTAATTTATTTTTTTTATCTTCTTTATCATTCTTTATTTATTTATCTTATATTATTAATCTTTTTTTATATGTGTTTTTTTTTTCTTTATGTATCTTTTTGTATTTTTTTATTTTCTAAAGAGAATGCACATTATGCATCATGTTGGCACATTATTTCATCCTGGATATAATGACTGGGTCTCAATGATGACGACCATGATGTTTGATGACCTAGGTGCAGCATTGGAGATGGGGGGGCGCCGGCTGCTCGGAGCTGTAGCGTCTGCAGGCACGACATTAAACTAATGTGTTTTAGCTGCAAGTGACAGATTTACTCTTCAGTTGTTTATTGAACGTTTCCTGAATGCTGGTCGGCAGCAAAGGTTTGGGGGGTGTGCGGGTGCATGTGAGGATGACAAATAGCTAAATAATCACAAATCTTCAGCGTCCATGTCCGCTGTTCTACGTGACGCTTGGTGCATTTTAAAAAGCAATTTTGGGGAAACGTAACAAATGCTCCCCCCCCCTTCTCTTGTGTGGCGGTTCCAGGAGTGATCCCCACTCCTCCGATCAGCTGTAACTGCGCCCGCCTGCATTGCTCCAAAGGGACCTAAACGGCTCTCTGGCTCCATGATGCTGGTAAAGCAGCTGTTCAGCAGCAGTCAGATGTGAACAGGAAGGTAGAAAATCATAATTTTTATCCAATTTGTGTATTAATTTAAAAAATGATTTATTTTCATATGCAGCCAGGCCAGCAGAAGTACCTAAATCTGTAATTTAAAGGAGAACTATGGGGTCAGGGCTTTTCCCCATAGTTCTCCTAAGGGTCACGGGAGAACACGAACTAGCGTCCTCCCGTCACCCTAAGCTCAGTATACCGCCAGCTACAGCTGGCGTTATACTGAGACGCAGCAGCCGGGACGGATCCCGACATTACTGTCTGGATCCACCCAGCTGCGGGATTGACAGCTGGCTCTGCCTATCTAGAGGCAGAGTCAGCTGTGCCCGCCCCCTCCCCCATCCGTTCCGCCAGTCAGCGCTGGAGGATCGGAGCGGGGAGAAGGGAATCCCTGCAGGGAGCCATAAGTGACCGAAACGGCTCTCTGCAGGGATAGATCGAGAAGTGAGCGAGCACCGGTATGTGTTCCCTCACTTCCCGATCTACTGAGCCGACCTGTGACAGTTTCATTGTCACAGGTCGGCTCAGATTATGAGGCTGAGTGAAAATCACTCGCCTCATAATTCTCCTTTTAAGTATTCAGCAGTCTGGGCCAATCAGGGTTCAGTTCTGTCAGTTACAATGCTTGCTGGAGGAAAGATCACCAGTGTGTGTCGCTGTTCAGTGGCCAATCACAGGCTAGGGTGGGCCCTGGACCAGGATTAGCTGCGGTGTATTCCACAGAGGGGGGTCTAGGTCCTGATTATGTTGTGTGGCAGGGGTGACCCTATGACACCCCGAAACATCAGAATATACAACGCTGTTCTTCACTATACACATGTAGGACGCAATTACTTTTTCGTAGTGCATGACTTGGTATCCCTTGAACTGGTTTTGATGCGGCGCCATCGCAGGGTCTAGCACTGTCTGGAGTACAGCATCCTATATGGAATGGATCTAAAGACTGGCTCAACAGAGTGCAAACTTCCATGGCAGGCAGCGCGGATTGAGCTGTGTGTTTATCCATCACATTCAATACTGGGAATCTTTATTTAAGGCCAACTCCATGATTTGAAAGCACTACTCGCCCTTCTTTTGCTCCAGCGTTGCACTGCATGTCGTCCTCTGATCACGCCGACCAGTCCTGTTTGATGCCCAGCAAACACTGTAAATATCAGCTTTAGTTGGAATGACCCTTTAAATCTGCCACCTCCATGATGTATTGAAAGCCTTCTGGGAATACTAAGAGGAGGGCCCACCACCCCTCAGCTTTTTTTTGTTTGTTTTGTTTTACATATCTTTTGTTTTTTTTTCAGTTTTCTCTTCTATTGTTTCTGATATTGTTACATTGTCTTCCTGTTGGCAGATGTCCCCGCGTGGCTGAAAAGTCTCCGCTTGCACAAGTACGCGGCCTTGTTCTCACAGATGACGTATGACGAGATGATGTCCCTGAACGAGTGTCAGCTCGAGGCTCAGGTAAAGTGTCGCCCCCTCTGCCCCCCACCGATAACATCTTGTTGGGTGCACCAGCCATTTCCTCATGACCATTCTAGCTCTGAGCTGAGGTCGTAGGTCATATTAAAAGAAACAAATCTGGCAATTTGATTTGTACGGCGACATTTACACTTGTGTGCGCATTGTAGCGGGTTCACGCGTGGTGCATGACCTTTCACTTTTGATACCATGTTTCAAGTTACCCCCATATTCAAAGTGTGACATGAAACCTGGTCACATGGCCACCTCCCCCATATGCCCCATTGCTGACTTACCTTAGTCATGGGGTTCTTCTCCCCACAGGCTCCTGAAAGTTTTTGGATCTGGCTTTGTTGGTGTCTGCAGGACGGGATCTGTGACTGGAGGGACTACAGATGCAATCAGCCGCCGAGGCAGACGGAATCATAGTTCTCAATAGAAGACAATTGCGGTTATGTCACCATTAGGGATGCAGCGATACTAGTATTGGTATCGGTGCCGATGCCGAGTATTTGGTTGAGTACTCGTCCAAATGCTTCGATGCCTAGCCCGATACTTGGGCTTCCGGTATCAGGAAGCTGGGTAGCGAGTCATTACACTCTGCCCAGCTTCCTGATTGGCCAGGTAGCCGGCTCCATGCACCCTCGTCACTTGTGACGAGGGTGCATGGAGCCGGCTTCCCGGCCAATCGGGAAGCAGGGCAGCGTGTAATGACGCAACATTCGGCTTCCTAATTGGCCCGGGAAGCCAGCTTCCCTGCCAATCGGGAAGCTGGGCGCTGCGTCATTAAATGTCGACCGGGTTCGTGATTGGCCAGAGAGCTGGCTCCATGCTTTCTCCTCGCCTAGTGACGAGAAGCATGGAGACGGCTTCCCTGCTAATCGGGAAGCCGGGTGGCGAGTCTTTACACGCCGCCCGGGTTCCCGGCTATTTAGGAAGCCAGGTGGCGGGTCGTTACATGCCGTCAACTACAGGAAAGAAGATGATGATCGGATTAAGAGGAATCATTTACGGCAAATACTTACACCAGCATAGAGAGGGGGGGAGAAAAAAATTGACTTTAATGTTCTATTTATTGCTATATTGCAACTCACTGTTCACAATAATATACCGCAAGCTCTAAATATGAGTTACAGCAGGGGTTCCCTGGGACCTGAAAGGTATTTGAGGATTCCTCCATGGTGAATAGGTTGAGGGTGAAGCAGCTGAGCACACCCAACACCGGCGGGATTTGCATTCATTTGGCAAGAACATAACAATTTGCATTTATTTGGCAACAACGTACCAAAAAATGTTTATATATTGAACATAGAAGAGGAGATTACAGTTGGTTTGTCATATTTTGTAGAGTCACATACATTTTATTGTGTGAGGTTCTTTAACTGTGCAGCTAACAGACTCGCCATTGTTTGTTTTAATGCAGAATGTCACCAAAGGCGCCCGCCACAAAATCGTCATCAGCATCCAGAAGCTGAAGGAGAGACATATACTTCTGAAGTCCTTGGAAAGGGTGAGTATATGATGTAACATAGATGTGATATTTATATGTTTCCCCAAACTTGTCACAAAACAATCAACTGAATAAAATAAACTTCTCAGTGACTGAAAATATTTGTAAATAGATTCCCAGCATATCACAATAGACAGCAATAGTAGAAGTTTTCAAAAAATGGAAAAGCCGTCCTTGGGCTCCAGTTCAGTGACTTTGCCTAGGCTGAGATGATGTCAGTCTCCTGCAGGCAGGAGGAAGCTTTTCCTCAGTCTGCCCACCCCCAGTGATCAATCTCCTGCAGGTGGGAAGAAGCATTTCCTCAGTCTACCCTCCCCTAGTGATCAGACTGCAACATTGTAACATCTTGGATGGTGACGGGGTCTCTTTAATTTACCTAGGTGAAGGTTTACATTTCAGACCCTATTATCAGTCCAGCCTCTAATGGGTTTGTTTGTGTTTGTGCACGCTCAGGACATCCTGGAAGGAGGGAATCTTCGGGGGCCCCTGCAGGAACTGCACCAGATGATCCTGACACCAATCAAAGCGTACTCCTCCCAGAACAACAATACGGAAGACCACAGCCGGGAGTCCGAGTCCCAGCCATCGTTGGGGGGTCTGGGATTGGAGAACAAAGACTCCGCCTCTGGCGGCATGCAGCAGCATCATATGGGCAACTGTGAGGGGGAGAGCGGGAGCACCCCGTTACCAGAGGGCGACCTTCCGGGACAGTTCACCAGGGTTATGGGTAAAGGTAAGACCTGCTAAATACACTAAGCATTTTTTAATTATTCCGCCTTTCTACTTGGGGTTTATGACATTTTATCTTTGCTCTCTTGTGTGTATATAGGTGGCTGTGAAATATATTAAATGACCTGTGCCATTTCATACAACCAAAACTTAACCCAAAATTTAGGAACCTGCACGGTTAGATCTTTATATGTGCAGTTCTCACTACCAGACACACACACAGTAGCTGTATTACAGTCCCTGCTCCCTCCCACACATAAGGCACCCATATAAAGGTCCCTGCCCTGCCACAGTAGCCATGTAGAAGTCCCTGCCCTGCCACAGTAGCCATGTAGAAGTCCCTGCCCTGCCACAGTAGCCATGTAGAAGTCCCTGCCCTGCCACAGTAGCCATGTAGAAGTCCCTGCCCTGCCACAGTAGCCATGTAGAAGTCCCTGCCCTGCCACAGTAGCCATGTAGAAGTCCCTGCCCTGCCACAGTAGCCATGTAGAAGTCCCTGCCCTGCCACAGTAGCCATGTAGAAGTCCCTGCCCTGCCACAGTAGCCATGTAGAAGTCCCTGCCCTGCCACAGTAGCCATGTAGAAGTCCCTGCCCTGCCACAGTAGCCATGTAGAAGTCCCTGCCCTGCCACAGTAGCCATGTAGAAGTCCCTGCCCTGCCACAGTAGCCATGTAGAAGTCCCTGCCCTGCCACAGTAGCCATGTAGAAGTCCCTGCCCTGCCACAGTAGCCATGTAGAAGTCCCTGCCCTGCCACAGTAGCCATGTAGAAGTCCCTGCCCTGCCACAGTAGCCATGTAGAAGTCCCTGCCCTGCCACAGTAGCCATGTAGAAGTCCCTGCCCTGCCACAGTAGCCATGTAGAAGTCCCTGCCCTGCCACAGTAGCCATGTAGAAGTCCCTGCCCTGCCACAGTAGCCATGTAGAAGTCCCTGCCCTGCCACAGTAGCCATGTAGAAGTCCCTGCCCTGCCACAGTAGCCATGTAGAAGTCCCTGCCCTGCCACAGTAGCCATGTAGAAGTCCCTGCCCTGCCACAGTAGCCATGTAGAAGTCCCTGCCCTGCCACAGTAGCCATGTAGAAGTCCCTGCCCTGCCACAGTAGCCATGTAGAAGTCCCTGCCCTGCCACAGTAGCCATGTAGAAGTCCCTGCCCTGCCACAGTAGCCATGTAGAAGTCCCTGCCCTGCCACAGTAGCCATGTAGAAGTCCCTGCCCTGCCACAGTAGCCATGTAGAAGTCCCTGCCCTGCCACAGTAGCCATGTAGAAGTCCCTGCCCTGCCACAGTAGCCATGTAGAAGTCCCTGCCCTGCCACAGTAGCCATGTAGAGGTCCCTGCCCTGCCACAGTAGTCATGTAGTGGTCCCTGCCACAGTAGCCATGTAGCGGTCCCTGCCCTGCCACAGCCATGTAGCGTTCCCTGCCCTGGCACAGTAGCCATGTAAGATGTGGGGGTATGAGTTAGAGGAGATTAGTATTAAAGAGACCCTGTCGCTATACTAAATGTTTGAAATCAAGCTATACCTGTAAAAGGAGATTGTGGATATTTCTCCTGCTACCCACACCATGGAATGCTCCCATCCTGACAAATCTTCAGGAACAGGTGCTTCCGGAGAGTCTATCTCCAGGGTCCCCCACAGCTTTGACTGGTTCCTCCTCCAGAAGAGTCTGAGCAATGTGTGGTGGCATGGGCAGCAGGAAATGTAATTATCACTCTTCTTTTAGGAGTATGGTTTGATTTTAAAACATTTAGTAGAGCATCGGGGTCACTTAAAATTTCAGTTGTCCCTTTAGGCCTACTTTATCCATGTGAGCCTCCATGTTTTTTGGTGTTGAGCATGGCAATGCAGCAGGAAGAGGTTATGGAAATGTCAGCCGGGAGAACACAGCCAATCATCTGCAGCATCTCC